CGGAATCCAATGCGATTCCGTCACCAGGATTTCGTCGGATCCGTCGAATTCCTGTAGGATCCGATAAAATTCTGTATTGGATCCGATGGGATCCGGTGGGATCCGAGTATGGGATTGTTTGACCTGGGTAGCATCTCTGTTTCTCTTCAATTTTGTCATGTTATTGACAGATAAGAATAAAAAAAGTATAACCATTACCGCCTATAACCGTTTTCTTTTTTCAATCTCTATAGTTGAAACAACACTTGAGTCCTTTACCTCACACTTCACATCGAATTTAAAGTACATGGGGACTTATAAATATCCCCGTAGTATGGGAGTTGAGGAGCCAGGGGTATCCCCATAGTAAAGTTCGGTTAAAGTGTAAAACAATTTGAAAATAGAAAAGCTTTATTCAGATTGGCCCATACAAATAAACATACATACATTTTTCAAGTGTACGACCCTTTCTTTCAGAAAAGGAGGCAATTCTTTCGTAGAAAAAAGAAAAACAATATGCATAACCTTGAAACGTCTCTATACATTACCGTCAAAGCATTAGAAAAAAACTGAAAAAAACATATTACTAATCTCGAAGTGAAATTTTTCCCATGATGAGAATGTCTTCATTAATGTTTGAATAGAGAATAGAATCTATCAAAATTTAATAGCAACAGAAACAGCGACGACCACGACGTTTTTGCATGCAAAGAAGCGCATATTTCGCTGGGGTAAAAAATCTTTTTTTAAAGAACAAGTGGTGTTGGTATTGGTGACAACCAATACCGTTCCACCTGCTCTTTTTCAAATAAAAAAAAACTTTTTAATGAGCAGAAATGTGTTCTTTTTACGCGTAAGAACGTTATTTTTTTTGTTGCTTGTTTGTCTGCGTTGTTCTCGTTCTCACTTATTTTATTTGACATAACGTAAGACATCTGTACACCCAAATTACAACAAGTAAAAAAACTTTCTTCGTATTTTCTTATTTTAAATGTCCCAAAATTACAAACAAAAAGAAAAATCATCGAAGGTGCTAACTACGACAAGTAGCAGATCTGATATAAAGCGAGAACAGAAAGATGGTAAGCCAACACCACTACCAAGAAATACAAATAATATAGGTTTCAAAACAGCGTCTAAATTGATTACAAATGTTAGTAACAATAGTTTATCACATAAACCAGTTATTCCTCCTATTTTATCTGGTTATAATACTCAAGATTCCGAACTAATTGACCAAAGTTTTTTACCACTGAAATTGTTTGATGGCAAGAAACAATCATTGAACGAACTTAGCGAAGAATCAATGTCTTATTTATGGTTAAGACGCATCAAAGAAATATTTTTACGCTTAGCTGATGGAAAAGATGACCGAGATGATGATCGTTTTGTCGAATTCGATATGGACTTAGCTAAAATAGATTTGATGAATACATGTGATCGATACATTGAGAACGAACGATTAGCTCTTTCGAAAAAGGTAACCTTTTATCATCAACATTTTTTACTAGTCTATGTATATATACGTATGTCGTAGGCTAGACTAAGGATTAGACTATACTAAATATCGCCTAGGTCATTCTTAATACTAGGTTTAGACTAGTTCAAACATATATTACCAAAAACGTTTTCATAAAAACTCTAGCTCTTGTCGACGAAGAGGTTGCATGGAAAATTTTCTTGATGACTTGGTTTGCGACACCATTACTCTGGATATTACAATTGACAATAAAGATTTTAATCTAGAACTTAAACTCTCGTACACAATTCCCTATAAAGTATGACCTTCTAGGAACATATCTTCGTCGATCCACGAATTCAATTTTTGTTTCACCATTGCTAGTTCTAATATCTGAAGTAGTGGTGTCGCAAAACAAGTCATCAACAAGAACTAGAGTTTTGATGAAAACGTTCTTGATAATCCATGTTTGGACTAATCCAGATCTCGTACTAAGAATTATCGAAGCGATACTCACTATGACCTGATAATAAGTTTAGCCTAAGACATATGCTTATTACCGTCCAATCTCAAATTCCCGTAAACCAAACTCTGCATCGTGTAAATCATGGCAACCAGGCATGTCAGCAACAATAGCCTTTGAGTGCGAACTCTTTTAAGATCTCCATCTATAGAACGAGTTTTACTTATCGACAAACAATGTACTTAAGCGAATCCGAGATTAAACGCTAACATACTAGTAACGCTCGTCGAGGCAGACTCGCTATACCCTCGACTGAATCACTGACTGAAAATACAATAGTCTTATATGCATTTTATGCAAAAAAAAGATAGAAGTATAACCTTTGAAGGGGTCCCCGGAAACTGATCTTCATTCGCCTCACAGTCTTCAAAAGAACCAAAAGACTACTTGTGTTCCTTTNACCAAGATCTAACCTCAACACACCTTCCAAACGATGTTTTATAAAGTTTTGAGCATTTTCAAAAAAATGTTTTTTTGACCTTTGACCTTTGCCCCCAAGACCCCCACCTTACCCTCTCGTCGATATCAGGCCTCAACAACACCCCAAACCATGTTTTATGAAGTTTTGAACATTTTCAAAAAAAATGTTTTTTTGACCTTTGACCTTTGACCCTGACACAAACAAACAGACAAACAGACAAACAAACTTTTTTTTCATATGACCCTCCTTTCAGTCGAGGGAATATAAAGAAAACAAATACTTCTAATTTGATTTATAATAGAAAATCAAGACTATAATGGATACCAATTCTGGTCACTCTGTAGGGTCACTGGCAGATATTCAAGAATGCATCAAAGAGTTAAATAAATTAATTAACAACTCATCAAATGGAGATTCGTCAACATTGCTGAATAGATGTATCAAATCATTAGAAGCATTCGATGACAATGCTCATCGAATTCTTTCTACTCTTCGAAAAACACGAGAAAACAATATTGAACCGGATGCTAATATTATTTTAAAGTCGATGCAATCGTTACAAATAACTGCTGGAAAGAAAGAAAAAAGTGAACTTGAGATAAAACAAGAATGGGATATGAAAAAGCTCTACGCTGAACTATTTAAAATATCCTACAAAAGAAATCGTTTAAAAACAGATATTGAACAGGTTTTATTGTGATACTTTTCAAATCAATTATTTCGAAAAATTTATTTTAGGAAGAATTAAAACCAAAAAAGAAAGGTGATGATCAACCCAATTTGGGTAATGCCATTTGGTGGTATACTTGTGACAAGGCAAATATATATTATCAAATCAATTCAATATTACGTCTTGAAAATTTCGAATTATTAATGTCCTATCGTTATTTCTTGAGTGATCTGTGTCGAATGATCGAATATTTGTATCAGAGAAGAAAAGACGAGTTTGGTGATGTTGCTCAAACATTCTATCGAGCTGGTCATATCAATAAAAGCCAACTTCAAAAAATGGACAACCAACAAAAGGGTCAACTTATATCTTTGGTAGGCTTTATTTCAGCAACAACAGATATCGAAATAGCAAAAGGTTACGCCAGAAAACAGCACATTTCTGACGACAATCAAAGTGTTCTATTCGAAATTGTTATTAAACCGCAAGAAGCATGTACAGCATTTGCATATATCGAAGATATCTCGTTTCATCCAGAAGAAAAGGAAGTTCTATTCAGTATGAGTTCAACATTTACTGTTGGTATGGTCCGTGAACCAGAAAATAATGAAAGCTTCTATCGAGTTCAACTTATTGGTGCTGACATCGATAAGACAATTATCGACGATATTCGTACAAAAATTGAAAAAAACACTCCATCAGGTCGAGCTGCTCTACTTGCTCAATATTTGATGGAATTAGGCGAATATAGAGCCGCTCGAAAGTATCTAAATTCACTCTTAGCTCAAGGAGATGAAGAAGGAATTTTATTTAACGACCCAAGTCTTGCAAGTATTTATAGTTGTCTTGGTATGACTTATACTCGACAAGGTCTTTTCGGTGATGCAATCAAATCATTCAAACAGGCACTTAATACACAAGCTCGTCTCGAATATTCAAACAATAATGTAGTAGCTAATATTCACAGGCAAATTGGTTTAGCCTATGTAGGCCTAGGACATGTAGACGAAGCTGAAGAAACACTATCTGAAGCAGTACGCATTCAAATAAGGGAACTCAATTCAAACCAACAACATCTTGCCGCTATCTACAGTAATATTGGTCATGTTCATTATAAAAAAGGCAATCTTGATAAAGCACAATCGACTTTTAATGAAGCGGAGAAAATATACAAAAAAAGGTCAAGTAAAATTGCTCATGATGAGCTTGAACAGTCACTTATTCAAGCAGAACATCTAACTAACTACGGTCATTTCTTATTTATCAACAAATCTTCAGCAGATGCTCAAGAAAAATATAACGAAGCATTGAAATTGTATAAAAAGATTGTACCTGATAGCGATCCAAAATTGATGCAAACTCATATCAATATCATGCTTGCTTATGCAACAAATAAAAAATATAATGAAGCAATAACATGGTTTAATCAACCTATGATAGGAAAATTAATTAAGAAACAGGAAATTAATATGTTCGAATTGAATAGTTCCGTAACACAATTAAGTCTTGCATTTTTACATGAATTTATTGGCGCTTGCTACGCAACGCAAAAAGATTTCGATAAAGCTATTCATATGTGGACTCGTGCTTTGTTATTTAAACATAAGGCACGATTGGAAGAATTATTGCTTGAAACTACAAATAGTACTTTTTCTAGTCATATTTTCGAACAGAAAACTTTTATCGACAGTAGCTATCAATTGGCATATGACTATTATAGTAAACAAATCGAGTAATAATTGTATCTCTCTAACTTTATCAAATTCTAGTTTATATTATTCTAGTGAAGTGACTGAATCAAATGGTACTATAAATAAACCTCTGACTAGAGATTTTTGCATAGGTCTACTCTATGCCGAATTATACAATCGTGATCAAGCGATCGCTTGTTTAAAGCGATCTATGTTATATTTAAGTGAATCAAATGATAACATGCTATATATTGCCTATTTATTAATAGCCGATATTCTACAACAGCAACGAAAATATAAAGATGCCGTCGAAAATCTAGATGCCACATTGCAATTAATAGCATCGTTGAAAGAAAAAGATCGCGTCTTAGAGATCGAAATTGAATTAGCTCGAAGCGATTGTTTGATCGAAATCAATTCACGCGATATTATTCCATGCTTACTAAAACTTGCCAACTCTTTAAATGCAAACGATAGCGATACAAAACGTATAAGTCTACAAGCAATCGTCTACGATACATTAGCTAAGTGCTGTTTAAAACAAGGAAATCATGAATTATTTGATACTGCTGCCGAAGAATCGATGGCACTTAAACTTCGCAATTTTTCACAATATCATCCCAGTTTAGCCATTACTTTAGTTCTGATTGCCGAACGTCTCATTCAACTCTCGCAATATCGTCAAGCACTAGATTTTTATGAACATGCCCTAGAGATACAGAACTTGAATCTAGCAGATAATCATCCGAAAATTAGAAAAATATGCTATGCTATAGGTGATATTTATTGTAAATTGGATAAATTATCTATCGCTATAGAAAAATATGATGTTGCTGAAAGTAAAAGTTTGGAATGCAATGATGATATTGCTCTTCGCCAGGAGAAAATCAATTCAAAAGAATCAATGGACATTTTTATGGCTCGAGTCCGTATGCATCAAAATCTAACTGATTATTATGCGAAAAAAAAGAATTATAAAGATTCCATTACGGAAATGTATAAAATTCATGATCTACTTAAAGCAAAACTGCCACTGTCTGCATTTAATTACAATGACGAAACACTTTTAATTCAGAATAATATTAATCCAACTACATTAATCAACAATTTACAGCAACTTATCAACTGTTACTTGAATCGTAATATTTCAATTGATTTTGAGCAAGATGATGAGAATGCTTCCCAAATAGCTTTAGAAATTTGTCAGAAACTTTCTCGACACGATAAAGAAGTGACAAAGGGACAACTCGTTTTACTGTATCGTCAATTAAGTTTATATTATGAAGATTTAGACGATAATGAAAATGCTCTTGATTATTTACAAAAGACTATAAATATTGAACAACCGGCAATTTCAACACTCTATCGATTGGCATATTTAAATACAGAATGTGATGAGTTCGATGAAGCAATTAGTAATTACGAAAAAATATTAAATAATGAATTAACCAAAGGTCAACGAGAAATCTCACAAATCATCCAGGAGAAACTTTCAAAAGTTAGAGAAAAAGCAAAGAAGACGGAGAGACGTTCTTCAACAATTTCGAGTAGTAGTGATGAAAGTGGGTCAGACGAGGAAGCATCTCATCATTCCGCCAGTAGTAGTAGATTAAACAGAGATTCAACGAGTATTTCCAGAAGTTCTCGTGCCGAAAATGGAAGTGAGAACAAAATAAAAACAAAGATGGATAGTACAGGTTAGTTACAGTTTTATTAGTATTTCTCGTTTCGATAATATAGAATATGGACTTCTAGATGATACTTGTGATTATCGAACTATCGCGGCTGCTTATCTTCAGCTCGGTGATAATGATATGTGTATAGAATGCCATGAAAAATACACGAAAAAATGTAAGAAAGACATATCCACGAATTGTATGTTTAGCAAACACCAACAGATTATTACGGAACAGGCGTGTCACTATGAAGAAGATGACACAATAACTTTGTTAGCGAGATTATTTCATGATTTAAATGAGAAATTTCGAGAAACTGGTAGTTTCGAAAAATCAGAAGTATTGAATATAGCTGATTCGTTTTTTCAATGTGGCCTGCTTTATAAACAAAAATCGTTTTATCTTGAAAGCACTAATGCTTATATATCCGCCTTTAGCTTATATATGTCAAAATCTCTTACAAACTCAAACGAATTAATCGACAATGTAAATCAGCTCCTCGGTGTATTTGTTGAAAACAATCTTGCCTGTGAACAAATTGTTGACGTTTGCAAGCGATATTTGACATCAACTGTCACAGAGCGTATGCGAATAAGTCTAGCTGCTCTGTATCGTGAAAATGAAATATACAATGTTGAGGATTTGGATGGCGATGATGATACAAGTAACGAATCACGAAATATTGCTTTACAACACTATAAAGATTTGTTAGAAAACACCGATAACATTATGACGAAAGGTGCATGTTATTTTAATATTCTAAATTTATATAAAAATCATATTTATGAAGATGATGATGGTAAATGTATTATTGAAAAAATGATGCTCATATTACCGAAATTCACTATTTCCGATCGAATATTGTTAATTAAATTGGCAGTACACTTTATGGCAGAATATGATAATAATAAGGGTACCTGTGATATGAAAATAAATCGTCAACTGCAAAAAATGGAAAAGGAATATTCTAATGAGAAACTGGAAATACATAAAGATAAATGTATCGGAAAGTATCTTGTAGATTGTGATGATCTAGAAGGTGCTAAGGAATACTGGGATTTAATTGGTGAACAAATTAAAAGTAGCATACCACACTGGATACTTTCACTTGTTCGTGACTCTGATTCGATATTTGAAGATATTCTACATACGATAAAACAGCCAGAAAATGATACTGTCTTACTATTGAATCAACTAGTTAGTACATATGAATCATTGGGCGACTACTACATGTTGGATGCTAAAATTGGACAGACAACAGGCGCAAATTGCTGCCAACAAGCTGAAAACATGTACAAAAATGCGGTGCATTTATTGAAACGATTTAATTCAAACTCAGAAAAAGTTCCGATGATCGAAAAGAAACAGCGAGAAGCGACAGGACAAACAAAGAACTAACACAAAAGAAATAACTTAATAAATGTCAACATATTTTACTTTTTCATAAGCGAAAACTTGATAATATTGTCCTATATGGATCGACGCAGAATCAAATGCTCTATCTAATGAGACTAATACGAGATGAAACAGATATACCTAGATAAATTGCTCAGGGTAAGATTTCTTCACACCAAGACCATACTGCCAATGAGAGTAATAATGGCTTCTATCACTCTAAATCTATTCGAATTCATTTGAAATTGTCATAAAACAACTCGCGGCACAATTCTGCGTTGAATAATATATAAGACTAGGGAAAATTAAATATGGGCAAATTTACGACCTTAACCGCCCCCGTCCTTTAAAGAAATTTTCTCACTCAACTTCTACTCATTTATCAGTAAGTTCTAGGGAGAATTTCTCTCGACCCAATCAACTCTGTCCTCATATTTTCAAATTCCGCATTGATATTCTATAACGATGAACTTTTACCTAGAATTTCTTCAACATTTTATGTGAAAAATGATGATCATTGATCTGTTTATTATCTAACATCAGAGCGAAACTTGTATCATCAGACATACATTCGTCGGTATTTCGTATTATCGCAATATCAATATAATATTTGTACTTATTTATAAAAACTTTTATGAGAAAATTCCTCGATAAATTCCCGGCGTTCTCTATTATGATATTTCTTATATAAATTTATTAATAATTGACAAGCATACAAATAATTTCCAATTGATAAAGAAAGATGTCTATTGAAAGTTTTCAAATTCGTTTATATTATTTACGAAAAACATTGATTAATGCTTTTCGAAATACCTGTCCTCCAGTTAATGTATAAAGATAAAATGATAATCCAGAAGGAATAAACGAAAAAAGAAGTAATAAATTAAAAATAAAATTTTCAATTGTAATTTGGAATGCTGATTTCAATATGTTTCTTGTAAATGTTGAATACAATTTCGATAAAGCAAATGGAATCATACATGAAAAATTAATAAGAACTTGAACGAGAAGCATAAACAATAATCGTCGATCAGATTTTTTTTCTTTTTTGAAACGTGTATGATTCATAGATATTGATTTGACAAACGTATTAGTATTTGTCATATTTATATTGGTCGCTGGACGTACAACTGTTTGTGTTCGACGTACATTTGATATAATCATTTGACCAAAAATAAACATCAATGATAATGGTATTAAAACACTAATAAAAGCAAATGATAAATCAGATAGAATTGCACATGTTACCGTTTTTGAATAACACTTCAATGGTGTATATGTAAGATTAGCTTCATAACAAAATAGTTGTTGAATTTCCATAACACTTGAAATAAACACAATAAAAATAATACCACGTTGTGCATTTTTCAATGTACTTCGATTTCGATAAGTCACATTGAAACAAGAAGAAAGCCATCGATCAACAGTGGCTAATACAATAAGCCAAAGAGAAATAGTTAAGGCAGTGAAATAAATAAAGATACGAAGTTTACAAAGAGATTGATTTGTATTTGTCATATCAACATTCCAAGTTGATAAAATACGAGGAATAATGCCAGAACATAATCCTATAAGACAAGAGATTGATGAAGTAAGGAACAAAAATAAACAAGGATTTGAACGAAGTGGACGTTGTGAAAGAACAAGAACATTCAGAATATTTCCAATAATTCCAAATAGAAAGATAGCAAATCCAAGATAGCGATTTAGTTGAAACGATATATTATTTAGCAATGCATTGAAACTTGCATCTGTACTTGGCGATGACATTTTAATACTAAATGAAAAGAAAATTCTTTTTTTATTAAATTTAATTTCAATAAAATGACTTTCTTATATTTTAATTAATCTTTTCTAAAATATTTATAAGCAAAATGATCAGTTCTATGGAGAATACACATGACAGATTCTTATCGGATTAAACTGACTTTGAAAGATTTGTCAAACAAAGAATGACTAATCCAAAAAGTGCCTTTCTACTTAGGATTAGAAAGCATTTCTTTACTTTACATAGAAAGAGCAGACAAATTAACCAAGAAGAAGAAGAAGAATAAAATTCATGTTTCATACTTTCTATTCGTAAATTTTGATACAACAAAAAAAAATATCAGTTCTCATCAATTTTAATCAAAATATTAGATTTTAAATTTTGATATTTATTTTTGAAATTAAAACTATAGATTAGTATACTCATTTGAAATTCAATTCAGTTGTATTACAATCGATATAATTTTCATAGAATATAACCAAGAGTTATCTATATACATGGATATCTTAGATATCTGATACTTTATTTAATACTGGAAACCGTTCGATCTATTTGAATGACATAAGTGCAAGAATATTATTAGAGTACTTCTCTTAATGAAAAAAAATGTCATAATGATTCTTTTCTCTCGTTTCTCTCGTTTTGTGTATTTGTGTCGATAGCACTCGCAAGTGTGAATGTGTGCGAAGAGAATGAGTAGAAGTCGTTCTTCGAACTTCTCTTGTAATAANGTTTTCAAGTAATTCGTATTTTTCTGTTCACAGTACCATTAGATTGATAGGCTCCACTTAGTGTCACTAACAACATTTTTTGTGATAGTGTAGCTTTTTTTTATTAATTGATTTACATATGTAATGCTGCCAATTAATAATATTATGATGGCGACGAATTGTCCGTCGACAAATTGTCCAGGCGACGAATTGTCCGACGACGAATTGTCCAGGCGACGAATTGTCCGCGACGAATTGTCCGTCGACGAATTGTCCGTCGACGAATTGTCCTAGTGCCAATTAGAAAAAGTGTACAACGATGTATGGAAGGATAAATATCGTGGATTTGATTGATTCTAACACGTATATGTTGAAAATGACGATGAAGGCAAAAAAAAGAAGAGATACAAAACATTTACGATTAATATTTTTTAAATAGTCGACCATATTCATCAAGTAAATATGGTACTACGAAAAGATCTTACCTTAGAACCAGACGCGAATTTAATTTGAAAATATCATTCGAATAAAAAAATCGATTTGTTAATAATATTAAATTAATCAAATTAAAATTAATTGTTCCGAAAACAACAAGTTATTTATTAATTAACCCTTTCGAGGCGAAGAGACCCACCGGTGGGTCTCACTATATTTCAAGAAATAATGTCATAGAAAAATGTTTTCTTTTTCCTTTTTCTTAGAGAGAAAGCTACAGATAATGTATTACCTATTCTATGTTCATTATTTTTCGAACCACTTACTGCATACTATGATGCTTTTCGTTGAAACAATCAAGACAAAACAATTTCAGATATAGAGAGCAATGCGCATAGAACACCATAGAACATGATATCCATAGAAAGAAATTTCGATAGAAGATATCAAGGAGGGATGATATCCGATGAGATATATCATAGTGGAACAGAGAATATCTAAGATATCCAGGACAGGATACCATGAAATGATATCTTTTGAAACACATTCAGAAGATAAATAAATTCATCTAGGTACAGAAAAACAAGTGGCATATGAAGTAAACTGTATTAGTTAGAAAGAGACGTCTCAACATAAAACATCTAAGTGAACTCAAAAAATGAATTTATCTAATATACATAAGAGAAAAGAATCGAGAATAATGGTACGAAAAGAATATAAAGCGAAAAACATAAATTTCATTTTTTTGTCTCGCTTCTATCGTATAAAATACGCATGAAAAATAGTAAACTTCAATAACTAACCAATAAAATGAAAACGAGAGTTCCTCATATATTCATGACAACAAGACAAAGAGAAACAGACGGTTGTACACCCTCAAAAAAGGTAACAGGTGTATTTATAGAAGATAAATATACGTAAAAATCAATAAACTTAAGCTATTTTCTAAAAAAATTGAATCGCATCGAAAGGGTTAAAGAAGATAAATAAAAATGAATAACACATTATTACTCTTCTCTTTTGAAGACAAAAAAATAACAGGTTGGAGGTGAATGAATGTGTGAATATCAATTCTTACCTCGACGCACACCTACACCCTCCTGATCACATAATTTTTGGACTCTGTTAAATATACATGGAAGGGAGTCGATTTTCAGTCTTATCTACTCCCTCTATTATTTTATTTAAAATGTTTGAAATTCTTTTTCAGTGGATTGTCAACAGAAACGAACTTTGTCTAGAGTATAAATTGCATATCATGTGTAAAAATATGATAGAAACTATGTATTAGTTAAGTTTTATGATAAATAAGTGATGTTCATGTTTTGAATGTGTTTATGTGATATAAGAATGAAGAGTATTTTGAAATAAGTTTATGAACAATATTTAGCAATGTAAGAGAACACTAACAGTATTCGAAACGTGATTGGCAGCAACGATATCAGGTTTAGAGTCCATATTAACATCAGCAACTGCTACTGCATATGGTGAGCTGCCCGTTGCATAAGTAACTTGATTGAGAAACGTACCACTGCCATTATTTAGAAGAACACTTACAGTGTTCGAACCACTGTTTGCGATAACAATATCAAGTTTAGTGTCCGTATCAACATCAACTACTGCTAATGCGATTGGTGAACTGCCTGTTGCATAAGCAACTTGATTGAGAAACGTACCATTACCGGCATTGACAAGAACACCCACAGTGTCTGACGCAAAGTTTGCCACAATAATATCAGATTTAGAGTCCATATTAATATCAGCCACTTTTACTGCGATTGGTGAAATGCCTGTTGCATAAGTAACTTGATTAAGAAACGTGCCATTGCCTCTATTCAGAAGTACACTCACAGTATTCGAACCATAGTTTGCGGCAATAATATCCGGTATAGAGTCCATGTTAACATCAACTACTGCTACTGACTCTGCTTGACTACCAATGGCATAATTAATTGTATTAAGAAACGTACCATTACCTGCATTGACAAGAACACTCACAGTATTCGAACCATAGTTTGCAGTAATAATATCAGGTTTAGAATCCATGTTAACATCAACCACCGCTACTGAGAATGGCTTACTGCCTGTTCCATAAGTAACTTGATTAAGAAATGTACCATTACCTCTATTCAAAAGAACACTCACAGTGTTTGAACCACTGTTTGCGACAATAATATCCGGCTTAGAGTCCATGTTAACATCAACTACCGCTACTGACTCTCCTGTACTGCCGACAGCATAATTAACTGGATTAAGAAATGTACCATTGCCAGCATTAAAAGCAACATTTGTGGTGTTCGTACCATAGTTTGCAACAATAATATCAGGTTTAGAATCCATGTTAACATCAACAACTGCTACTGACTCTGCTTGATTGCCAATGGCAAAAGTAGTTTGATTAAAAAACATCGTCACTGCAATGAAATACAAAATCTATGTACATGCTATGAAACATTATAGATGAATAATATCTCATCATCTTATTCCAATGCATTTGAAAATCGCTAATCTTCATGATCAAGCCAATAAAGACAATTATATCATCTCATTTAGTACACTCTTCGGAATTGTACAGTTTACTTAAGATCATTTCTTTTTAGTTTAAATTTGTTGCAGGGCACATAGTGTGTAATTTTAAAAACTAAATTGAAAATTCTACAGACAACTGTTGACACTATGGAGTATCTTTCTAGGATCAGTGTTCAGCATCAGTGTTTAGAATATTTCATACTGAGTGATTATGAAATACATGAATTATCCATTGAGCAACAATCAATTCATTTCGTTTTCATTGGTATCAAAGACGATCTTCTATTCTGGGACATTTGTGAGGAATGAAGTATGGACTTATTCGTTGTGCTGTGACATGATCCCAAGCTTAGATCAATAATTATCTACATTATTTGACATGACTAAACCTGTGTTAAGCAACTGCACTGATCGAAACGAGTTGCCTTATTATTTCATGACACTGGTAGATTTCATAGAAATCCAACAATATTCAAGAAGATTCTTAATATTTTGGAAATTTTTAGGAAACATTTTGTTAACTTCTCGCAAAAAATTTTAAAAAAGTTGCTTCCTTAATTGCGTAAATAAAATCTGTTCTGTCTATGAAATCTTTTTAGCTCAATATAAGACTTTTGAGTACACGTAAAACAGTAATTATGTAATGAATTACATACCACAATAGTTTGTAGTAGTAGTAGTAGTAGTTGTTGTTGACGTAGTAGTTGTTATTGACATAATAGTTGTTGTTGACGTAGTAGTTGATTCTAGTTTTCAAAACAATACAAATGTAGAAAAAAGAATCTATAAAAAGTATCTTTAGTATTCTGTAAGTTATAATAGATTCATGTATTTGTACAGCTGATTACACATAGGGAACTTTAGTATCTAGTATTATACATGTATTAACTCATCTGCAAAGAATTCATTGACACCTTTATTTCTCTATCTGAAAATTCTAACGAACCTTTAAATATTCTCATGTAATAATAAAATAAAAAATCTTTCGTTAGACTATAGTGGAGCTCAATACCGAGTAGCTCGGAGTTGTAATTTTAGACAAAATCTCTCGTACTATTTGGAAACGATGCGAAACGATTGATGAATTCTTTATTTAATTATATTTTATTTTATTTTTACTCACCAAGCGAAATTTCATTTTCAGAAATAACTATCGTTGTGCATGTATCCAAATCTGCTTCCAAAGTATGATTTTGATCCACTGTATTAGCAAACAATAGACACATCGAAGTGGATTGTTGAAAATTCGTCATTCTACACTGAGTTTCAGATAAACATTTTATTTGACAGTCGAGTAAATCTAGTGCAGGTACACTAATGAATGGTAAACATGTTGTTGTCACACATTGAAGTTTCCATTCATTCATGACATTCATCATCTTTGAACGAATATTTTGTGCAATTAATTGTTCGAGAGAAATCAACAGGATTAGAATTGAAATTGTTATCAAAGTCATAATCAAAAAAGAATTGTCGTCACTGAAATGAATTCAAATGAGAAAAAAAATTAACTGAGGAATGTGAATATTAGGTTATAATTTTAGAAATAAATCAAATCATTACTCCTTATTACCATATGAGCATTCGAAAACTATGTATATTTTCTTCTATAAACTGACTGTCTAAGGTTAAATTTCTTAGAGAATTCTAAACAATCAAAAATTATGAAAAACATGGGATGTTGCCAAAACTGAAAAGTTCGATGATGTCAATAGCTCTTAAAAATTTTTGTAAAACTTCGAGAAATATTCAAATATTATCCAAAAATCTGCAATTTTTTTCGAAGGTTTTTGGGAAAATATCTGTAAACTGATGAGTACAAAGAAACTAACAAAAGAAGAAGCGTTTGGATTCCCACAATCAATCATCGGACGACTTTTAAAGTAGAGATTAAGAAAATTTTGACTTGTTATCTGCAGTAACTTAACTCGTCGAACTGTTGGCCACAGAATACCTACACGAATACCATCTACATCACAAGCTACATCCACACTCCTTTAAAACTGTTTCTATCCTCTATAAAACAAATATTTGAATCTAACAACAACAAAATAAATAATGGAAGAGAAATTCCAAACAAATGAAAAAAATTAATCAGCAGCGTATTTGTACTGCTTGAAAAATTCTGTATTAAATTTGAAAAGTCATTGTAACGAGTGAGGAAAATAGTGCAGAAAGGTAAGTGGAGAATAATATTCTTATAAAAACAAGAAAAACATCTTCATAATAAGTATTGCACTTTTTAACGAGTTACCTTCATAAAAAACGTGACTTTAATATTTACAACGTTAATATTGCAAAAATTATATTTTTTGAATAATTTATTTGAAAATAAGCACAAAGTTTGCAATAGATATTTCTACTAAAATCAAACAATTTCAGTCCTGTAAGAGTATATGTGAATATGCTCTAGTCATCTTTTCTCTTTGTTGTAAAAAGATAATAGTAGTATAAATTACAAAGGTCCATTCAACTAGACAATTTTCGATATATGAAATTCTTCATCATTGTTGTCCTAATATAATACAAGTGTCCACTTCATGCAATCATTATTCTTACATTATCTCACTACCACATTCATACCTTCATCGTTCTGCAGTTATTTGTTCATCTAAGGCAAAATCTCTCATTTCTTAGCTTTCTCTAATATCTTATTAATTCCATGATTTTTATGCATAGTTTTGTATTTTTTCTTTTCTATTCATGTTCAAGTTCGGAAGTATGTTAGCAGTGTAAATCCAACTAGTTCAGATACTATTATCACTATTAAAAGATAAAATACATATTGTATAAAGTAAGAAAGAAAAATTTCTATATATAAATGACGACTTAAAACAACAGTATTATTATCATACATATATAAAAATGCATGACAATTATTCAGTGCGATACTTGAAAGAAAGAATAATTTCCTTCTTTTTATCATAAAGTGTGTTTTATCATGCACAAATTAAAATAAAATATTTTCTTTGTTATTACTACAACATAGTTGGTAAAAAAAACTAATATATTTCGTTTGCCAAAATAATATTTGTATATTATTAATTTTTTTAATATCACAATTCGATGAATTTCATATCGCAATAGAAATATCTCTTACAATTACTTTTTGTTACATCATTTAAGCCTAATTAACGTCTTGAGGATATGAATATTTTCTTATCCGTGACTCACTCTCATCCACACTTTCTTGAATCAGCAAATAGATTTAATGAATTTTGACCAGAATTCTTTGGAAATTTTCAAACTTATTCAGTATTATTTCTATATGAAAATGATTGTTAAAATAAATACTATTATTAATCAAGTATTTTGTTTTAAATAAAAATAAGAAGAATATTCAACGAATACAAATGACCCAAGCAGACTAGAATTGCCAAAAACGCTTGTTCACGCCGAAAAATCGCGTCTTTTGAGTGATTACACGCGTGTAAAACAGAATGGGCGTGAAAACACTAAGATTCCGATTGTTTTTGGCGAGAAGACGGGAAAAATTATAAACTCTATCATTTCTTAGTATATAATCGCATAGAAAACCGATATTATTGCCGTGTACACGCTGACTTTCCCA